CGCTCACATGAGAGAACTTTCTCTCGCTCTCTCTGTCTCGTACGATTTTACCCCGTGCCTTCTTCCAACTGTACAACTATATCACTGTCGGTAGCATTCTGCCTCGAGTATTATTAGTCTTTGGAGTTAGGGAGTACGCATGGACTCGAATCTCCAGGCTCGCTCGCATGGTTAACTTCCGCAAACAGAAATTACCATTTTATTGGGTGAGTTCTGGCGTCCCCTTACCGCGCCGGTCTCTCGGCTGCCCCTTTCCGCCAACCCCACTGCCGGCGAACCCACCTTTTCTCTCCTTCACCCCCGCCGTACTTCACAGCAGCCCCTAACGCAACGATTGGAATACCTAATCGTCCGGGGACCATTCAGCACCATTGTTCCATCGACTTGCCGTTGTTGGTGCCTGTTAACGCCGAATCCTTTCACGCCCCGGCGCTGCCCCGCCACTGCTTTTTCGTCACCCTCGAAAAAGATGATCGGCTTGCACACGTTCGCTGTCACGTTTGCTCTCGCAAACGGAATTTTCGAGCCGCATTTGCATCAAATCGCAACGGCCGCTACGTAAAAATTCCCAGGCAGGGAATGTATGGACAGACCGAAATAAAAGGCTCATCTGATTGGTCTCGTACAATGGGCCTAATCGATGAGACAGTGAAAAAATATAAAATAAACATTTAAAATATTGAATGTAATCTTTAATGTTATCCGAAGTGTTATAAAAATTTTTTTAACACATTTTTTTAGAGAATCTGTTTCATTGGAATCCCTTATATGAATGATTAATTTGATGTTTCAATTATTCTAGAATCTATTAGATTTAAAAAATGTAATGGAAGTATAATTATTCTAATTATTTTATATTTATTTCATAAAGTTAGTTTTTAAATAAGTTTAATATTAGTTAAGAAAAGCGTTGAAAAGGCTTTTCGTAATCATATAAAAAAGTAAAAGTTTTTGTTTATTTGTATTAAAAATAAAAATTAATTTATAAATATTTTATTTTATAGATAACAAGGAAAATTATTCTTCTAAACAATCGCCAATTCTTGATTATTCTAGCGTTAACGGATTCCTCATGTTCTAACAAATCTTCGGTTTTAATTAAACTCGAAGAAAGACGAATGATAGCTTTCTACCGGTTGTAA